CAATTATAATAATGTAATTAAATCAAATAATATTCATTATTGAGTTTATTTCGAATAGATTAACGAAACGATTATAATGATGTAATTTGTTAAAATAAATCGTAATTTTTAATGTATTTTAGCTAATACTATCACTATTTGAACAAAATTAAATTATAAAAAAAAATTGAATTAAAGAAATTGTACAAAAAACAAGAACTTTTAAATAATTAATTTGATATTAATATCAATATATTTTTTTAATTTTTTATGATATCTTCAAATTTATTTTTATTTAGACTTAAAAACATTATCTTTCTCAAAGCTACATAAATCATATTATATCAACAGAAACAAAAAATAAAACGAAACATTATAACGAAGATGTATCTCGTTACATTGCGCGATTACCATTTTATTATATTAAAAAATGAGTATGTAAGATGAACAAGATCAATAAAGGATATGGAAATGTTTCCTGACAGGTTAATTTAGTTAATATAAAATTATGTATTTTAATGTGATAATGATATAAAAATAAATGATGTATCATAAATTAAATAAAGAATTATAAAAGTATAAATCGTAAATATTAAAAATATTTTTTCATAGTATATATAAATATATAATAATATAATTAAGTMAAAAACTATTCAATATTGGACTCATTTCGAAGATATTAACGAGACGATTATAATGGTGCAATTTGTTAAAATAAAAATGTATTTTTTAAACATATTTTAAATGATATACGATTATGTATGTTAATTTGATAAAAGTGTAAAATGAAAAATTTAAAAGTAAAAGACGTAAAGTAAATTAATTAACTAATTATAGGAATATAAAGTATAAATTTAAAATTATAATTTAAAAAAATTCGGTTGAATGCTAGATAAGATATGTGAGGGAGTGAGTTTGTGAGATGAGGAGATGAAAAAAATGACGTAAGGGGGTATGAATATCAACCCTCATTTAGAAATGCTTTTATTAAAAAGAGGGTTGAGTCCGGACCAACTATCGAATCTAAAATGAGTGTTAGGAGTTCACCGATCAACTTGGTTTTGAAAAGACATATTTAATAGTTGTTTAACTTAAGACATGTATTGGTTATCTCCGCTTACAATCATAAAATACTAGTTGTATACTCGCGCAATGCGGCGGGATGTGAAATTTTGAGAAGATGTAAATGGACATATCAATTACGGATAAAAATTTATATTTGGTTCTATCAGGATATATATTTGAAAAGATGTAAAAAGTTCTATCAGTKTATATGTATTCAACTTCTTACGTAATGCGGCAGGATGTAAAGGTTCTATCAGGATATATATATTYAAATTTTAAATATCATTTTTTTTGCAAAATATCTTTCAMATAGTTGGTGGTTCACATCTGTATCAAAATCCGAAAATGAAAAATTAATGCAATTTCTCATTCAAAAAATAGAAATTAGAATTATGTTTTTGTCATACACAATCATCATTCAAAACTTCTTGATACACTACATTTGATGTGTAGACTCCTTCCTGGTTGAACTTTTTGGTAGGTTTCACTAATACCTTCGTATTGCCACGTGATGTCCCTCTGGACAATGCCACGTAAAGTTGGCCGTGCGAGAATACCGATTCCGGTAGATAAACACCTACCACTGGAATTGTCTGTCCTTGAGCTTTATTGATTGTCATGGCAAAACAAAGTCGAACGGGAAATTGTTTTCTCTTTAATTTAAAGGGAAACATATCATCTTCAGACGGACATAGAGAAATTCTTGGTAAAAATACCCTTTTACCAGCATGTTGGCAAACAGCTATTTCTGCATCGATAGTATTCTGCTGAAAACCTCTACATATCAACCTCGTGCCGTTACACAATCCATTTGAGGGGTCGATATTCCGCAATAGTATTATTGGACATCCAATTTTAAGCCGAAGGTAATGAGGAGGCAAACCGCTAACAGTCAGTGAGTTTAAGAACTCCATCGGATATAAGTTATTCTTSTCATCTTCTRCWTCATCAAAACTATAGTAAATTTTTTCCTCTCTACAGAATTTTTCAATCAACTGATCATTAATCTCGTCGACATGCTCATTTTTAGTTGTTAGTATCGCCCTCGAAATGATATAATCTGAAGCAGTCTCACAGCTTTGAAGAGAAGGAAAGATTGCATCAATCAAAGCATCCTTCGACTCATTTTTACTTGTGTAAGGAATGGTCATGTCATCAAGTATGCGAATAAAGTTTCCGTCTACTGATTCTTCATCTCCATCGCCGACACGTAACAGAAAATCCGAAAACCATGGATCAGTAAGTGCTCTCATATTGATCGTTAACCGCAACTTTTTAATCGAAGACCAAATAGGTGACATCCGTAAGCTTGAGTCTACGATCTGTGCTCGAGT